CTTCAACGAACGTATGACGATCAGACGTGGGGGCCCCGGGCAAAGCCTCGCAGATATCGCAACTCATCGCAGCTCAGTCTCACTCCCTCTCTCTCTCTCTCTGTCTGTCTGTCTGTCTGTCTGTCTCTTTCTCTCTCTTCCCCTCCCTCGATAAAATGAAAACGAAGAAGAATATACTAAGGTAATGATGAAATAATATTTCCATGTATATATTGACATACCAATGTCTCATATAGTAACATATTATGTCACTCTCGCTCTCTCTCGCTCTCTCTTCCGCGCCGAGGCTTGGGCTTACTTGATGCTTTGCGGCGACAGGGAGACTGGGCTTTCGCATGGCTTCTGAACAGATCAGGGTTCACATAGGGCTTGATGCTAGGGTTCAGGAGTTTAGGGATCTCAAGACACATGGTTGGCGCGAGTCCGAAGGCTTCTAGCTTAAAGCTGTGGGCTTCGTGTGCCTTTTGTTTCTGTCCTGGTTGAGTCGCTGCAAACCAGATGCAAGAAAGGGATCTCGGGATGCCTTCCGTGGTTCAGCAGTCGCGCTGTGCAGGTTCTCAGAGGCTTCATCGAAGGCCCTCGACACTCAGCAAGCTAGCTTTTTGCCTCTCGTGTGCGTGTCCGTGTTTGTTTCACCTTGTGCAGTATCCTCGTAGCCTGTGGCCACCCCTTTTGGCCCTGGGCGCTGTCGACGTCCAGGCCGTTGTCCGGTAGGCAGCCACTCTAAAGCAGCAAGCCTTGATGTGCCCTTATTGCTGGAACTCAAGCCAGTACTCGATGCCTTGTGTGCCCGTTCCGAAGGCAAAGAAGTGCTCAAGCTCGATTTCCCATCGAAGACTGTTGCAATCGAGATCAGAGACATGGCTTCGTCTCGACGTTTGGCACAAGTGGACTGGGAGTCCACAGATGGGATCTTCCTGCGCAACATCCCTGCTAAGTGTGATGAGCAAGCGTTGCGCAACTTCGTGCAGGCGAAGGGGGTCACAAACTTCAGCGCACAGATGGCTGTCTTTCCGAATGGCAATGCTAAGGGATTTGCCTCCATCCGCTTCAGTGAGAGGTCTGGAATGCAGGACTTCGTTTCCAAAGTCCATGGCCAGTTCATCCCAGGTTTTCAGAAGGCAACTCCGCTTTCTTGCGAGCCACTGAGGGGCACAGAGTCACGACGAATCCTTCGCAGTAGAAGCTACATGCCTGCGCCATCACAGCCATGGGCACCTGGGACCCACGAGCACAGTTCCATCAGCGGGGAAGGAAGAAATTCCACTGGGAGCTACAGGAAGAGCAAGGGCACAATCGGCTGCAGCACGATGGTCAGCGGCAAGGGTTTTCACATCGAGACTGGATATCGTGGTGCCTCCGCAAGCATGGAGGTCGCTTTCGGTGCTAGCGAGGCAGACTGTGGGGCCATGGTTATCGACCAGCAGCCAGCATGCACGACAGTGTTATGCTCAGATGGAAGGTTGAAATTTATTCTCTAGCTTCGTCAGGTGCTCGTCGAAGGTTGAGGGAGCTTCCTTGTGGCCGTCTGGTCCGTACCACTGCCCACGTACGTGAATCCGGTGTTCAGCCGACAGTATGTTTCTTAGTGGAAACCTGGGCCGAGTGAGTTTAGTGCAAACTGTATATAGGTTGAATGTTGCGAGTGCGGTCTGTACAGATTCTCGGCTGACAACAGGCTTAAGGATGTCTGTTGCATGATGTTGCATGTTTGGGAAGCAACGGAATTGTTGACTTCCGCCGCTGCATCTAAATGAAGCGAATGCAGCCGATTCACATTTCAACTCGCACTCCCGCTCTTCGCGGGATAATACACGGTGAGAGTACCATGTTATGAAGATTTGGTGTACTCGTAGTGTGTGCAGAGTGTACAGAGGCCAAGGGCCAAGTGAGGGATGATGGAAAGATCTTTTAGCGATTCAAGAGCAGGCCCGTCCTTCAGTTGACAAGCTTGGCTTGCTTGTAAAACGACAAGAACGAACACAACGACAACATCGATGTCCCTGTAAAACGATAGGAGTAAACATCAATGAGAACAGAAGTAACGGTCAAGCAAGTGGGTGGGGTCTTTTCAAGCTCCCTCAAGTGCCTGAGCTGTTCAGCGCAGTGCGTCGGTCATTAGTGACCACCCACTGAATACACATTAGACTTGCGAAACCATGCTGCACCATGCAGGGGGCACTGCTCCAGCCACTGAAAACGGGAAGGTCCGCTTCTGCTTCTACAATCACCACGTCTTAATACCAGCATCAGGATCAGTAACTAGTTCGTACCTATCTTTGTACTCAGACTGCGTGGGGGTTCTCCGGTGTCCGTAGACTCCGGGTCCTGCCTTTTGAAGATGCTTCCGCGCGAGGAGTCCTCGGATCTCGGGGCCTGGCTCAAGGCGGCCGGGGAGATCTTTTCCGTGACTCAGAGAGTGGGGGTTGCAAGGGCTTTTAAGCCTCAGTTTCCTTTGTTTGAGGGGTGCCCTCTGCAGTCGCACTAGGCCCGGATACAAGACAAGGGTTTAGGGTCACTCTCGGACTCTTCAAAGGCCAGCCGCATCTTGTGGCATTCCGTCGATGCCGCCGGCGCGGAGATGGGAAATCGGATATGGGCCAGCACGCAGCTTTCATCAAAGCTCTCTGCCCCCCCCTGAGCCGGCTCAGAAGGACGGTTGTTGCGTCTAAGGATGGCCCTTCTGGCGTTCTCGAAACAGCTGGATGCAAGTTGCATCTGTTCGTCGCCAGACCCTTTTGCGCGGGAAGCAGTCGTCGCACCCTCCTCAGGTCTGCACTGTGGTTGTAATATTTGCCGGTGCCCTTGTGCAGACACTAGTTTGGTCGAGGTTGTTCAATTAGATTCAATGAGCTTCGTTTCTCTGCAATTTTGAGCATGATCTCCACAATCAGCATTCAACCACAGTTGCGATTTCAGCAAAAGGAAGGCAAGCAGGTGTAGAGATTCAGCTGCCATGTCAGAAGATCACGTTGCCTCGATTTCCGAATCCACGGACTCTTGAATTCCCTCTGTAATCCGCAGCCGCTGCGTAGTTCTGGGAATTGGCTGATGAGAGCCGGTTCAGCTTCCCGAATTACTATGTCCTGATGCGCTTAGGAAACGATTGGCGACATTTTGTCTTTCCTCAGGTGCGGGGCTCAGATGCAACATGAATTTAGACCTTGCCTAAAGACTGCATGTTGCATAGCTGCTTCTGAAGCCAGCTTTCACTAACGTATTTCCAAACTCCTGCAGCATTCCATGCTTTTTTGCTTCTAGAACAGTATATGTCTCGATGACTCATATTACGCAGTATTACAACACAAGTTCTTCTTCTTATAATGATTATGATGCTTATGATTATGATTATGATTGTTATTACTCGTATGATTATAATTGCTGTTAAAGTTTTGCTATGACAATTGCTTGCCATTATCAGTTGCATCAATGACCTGCCTAGCCAGTCGCTCAGCAATGCGGGAGGCAGAAAGAATGATAACTAATACTAGTAGTACTAATATTTATTGTTTCTATTTTCCGTATTATTCGTATGTTCTTACTATCATGAAATTTATTCGTAATTGTTGCTGATTTGCTGAGAATGTTGCTGTTAGTATCATGATGATGATGATGATGATTATTATTGATCTTTCAAGACTAATCTCCAGGCTCGATCTGCGAGCCTGCCCAAGTGCGGCAAATGGTGGCGCAGACCCCGAGACTTGGCGTTCGACCATAGACGTGTGACATTCAGTCTTAGATCGCTCGCTCTATCTAGGGAAGGAGAGGGTTTAGGGTTTAGGGTTTAGAGGGTGAGGATAGGATGATTTTTAAGGGTATTGCTGTGGACGCTTGTCAAACCGCTGGATGCCACGGGGGAGAGAGCCACAGCAGGCAGGTGTGTGGGACAGAAGAAACAAATCCAGGGAGAGCCTTGCTGAATGCGTGCTAGAACAAGACTTGTAGCCGTCGTAAATTCAGATTCAAGCATGCCGCGCCGTGACCCCTTACCACAAGATATCCTGAGTTCTGGCCACCGTTTTCATTGTGGAAGGAAGCAGGCATTTAGGTCGCCGGCGCCTGCTGGCAGCCACTTCTTTACGACCATTCATGCAAGGTAGGGCGAGGGTCCGAGAGAAGAAGACAGAGAACATGCGTGCGTGCAGGGAGGAAGGAGTGTCTTCCTCCTCTTAGAGAGAGGTGCATGGAGGTGACTTGCCTTTCTTCTCACCCTTCCTAAAGTCCCGGATAGCAAACGGGGGGGCCTAGAGCCCAGATTGCCTTAACAGCCCTCCAGCCCGAAGAAGGTGTCCATGCAGATTGGCAGACCGGGGGCCCTCTGCTCCTTATTCTAGTTATGATAAGACTGGTACGTGGGTCTGAAACCGGTGTGTACAGTATCACAGTCCCTTCAACAAGCCCCATAAAATTGGGGAACCCCCCGCGGCCAGCGGGCTTAAGACGCTCCCTGTGCGCTGCGGAAAAAGAGTTGTAGAGATAGAGACCTTAGCCATTTAATTTTGGCTCAAGACTCAATCCTGTTGTCTTCTGCCATGGACTTGCTCTCGACCTGGGCTTTGGACATCTGAGACAGCCAGCTTTGTCATGTTCCTGGCAACGCTGGCATGCTCTTTGTGGATTGGCTTGGCATGCTTGGCCATGTTCGCTGCCTCGTCCGACCGAGCCGTCGACGGCGACAGCTCGCGAGGCTCCTGTCGTGAGCAAGGCTTGGCCGCCATGACAGGAAGCTTGCTTCGGAGAGCGATGGAGATGTCGCGCCAGGAGGAGGAGCGGCGCCAGAATCAGCAGAATCAAGAGGCAGAGCAGGCAGTTGACTCAACAGATGTGGAAGCTGCTGTCGCGCCGTGGCCCGAGCCAACGCCGTCGCAGCATGCGATGCCCTGGCCCGCACCCATGCAGATTGCCTTGCCTCCAGCATCGCTCGGCTGCAATGGACGTCGGAACGATCTTTCCAAAAGGCAGCTCCAGGGGCCCTCGCTTTGCATCGTCCTCCGCATCGTGCTTGGTCGGTAGACACCTCCCTATCCGTGTCCTCATCGAGTCGCGTTCACAGACAGACCGGGAGCTACAAGTGTGCATTGAAGAAGAGAGGGCGCGAGAGAGAGAGAGAGAGAGTGTCTTGAGCGTATTGTGTTGTGCTGAGTTGAACGGGGGATCATATGCCTGACTCGCTAATACGGCGTGTCATAAGGAGGGAGCGCCTGTGAGTTCAGATCATCCCACTGCAGGGGAAGAAACCGTAATAATGTGTCACTGTTGTTTGTTGCTTCCTTGACTAAGCAGTGGGGGGATCATACTTTCCTCAGTACAGCCGAGCCTCTCTTTACATAGTAAAGGGAGGGCAAAGACACCTGAGGACTGCAGGTGCGCGCTCGCGCGCGGAGGGCTGGGGACGGACCTACCCCAGTTCTCCCCACCTGGTAGAGAGAGAGAGAGAGAGTCAGTCACTTCGTTCCCACCCCCGTAAGGGGCCGATCAGACGTACCGGAGCGCGCCTAGTGGGGTTGGCTTTCGCCGGGGGGTCACGACCCCCAGACGCCTAGCAAGCAAGCAAGCAAGCAAGAGACGAAGTGACTATCGCGCTAATAGTTGCATCTGGGGATCCCCTGGATGGCCTGCGTGAAGCCTGCACTGGCTCTCATGAGGGGTCTTCGTTGGGGTGTGTTTCACAGGCGCAAGCAGGGGAACAGGACGGTCCCAATCCCGGAAGGGGTCACGGGCTTCGGGCCAGGGGGTTTCGGCCCCCGCAGGCACTGAGATGAGGCGTCGGTTTAGGGGATTCGCGGCCAGGGGATTGCATCTGAGACAAGCAGGCCAAACGTTGCGGCTTCATAACACAAGGGCGGGGCGCGCGGGCTAAATGCCGGTGGGTCGGCGACGACCCCTAAGCCCGGCAGAACAAAGAAGAGAGCGAAAGAGAAAAGCGGCTTTAGCTACTCCTGCACAGCTTGCGTTTCTCACCCCTAAGCCCGCAACGCAGCGGCTGGGCTTGGAGCCCAGGGGACCAGGGGGAGAGAGCGGAAGATAGAGGGCGGCAAAGCGAGGGACGGGTAGAGGCGGCTAGGAGGAAGGGAGGACAAACACAACCAAGCGAGCTGAAAGAGGCAAAAAACACTAAGGACATGGTTGGTCAACACCAGTTATCCCTTTCTGATGCGATGCGCATCCCGTCATCAAAGAGTTGATCCCGACCGCAGAGCATGACTCCTTGTATGAGTGACACAGTAGCCTCTGCCGATGCCCTCGAATGCACACGGCCGGCGTGCAACCACATGCAGATCTTCATGGTAGACGAAGTTTCCAATGAGGCCAGGTTCCCGCAAGCGCGTTCCGCGCCTGGGCCATCAGTCTGGTAAAGCTTGCGAGTGTCCAGGCAGGACAGGGCTGAAGCCCTCTGAAATCACGTAGCTTGGCACTGCCACCCTGTGTTCAAGGCCGGCCTCGAAATTGAGGACTTGGCCGAGGTCTTTCGCGAGGCGATCTTGGCACTCGACTAGTCCTCAAATAGAGATTGAGTGCATCTTCGGGTTGTGATGGAAAGCAAGAAAGCGAACAGAAGAACAAGAAGAACACACCAAATCGTCGAACCTTCTTCCTGGAAAACAGCTGTGGCGCAAGCTGGAGTTCGTGCTTTCATTTTTTGTGCACGAGTCGTTTGGAGTTTGGCGTCGCTCATGATGAATTTTTGGACAAGCCTCCGCATCGACCATGGTGAGTAGGCTTGCAACTTCGCGAATGTCGGGGAGAGTTTGGGCCCGGGAACGGTCAGGGAAGCCGCTGCAACACCCCCCAGCTGTTCGCACAGTACGGGACGACTAGAGGAGCACGGATCGCTCCATCGCCGACAGGAAAGTGTGTGAAACGTTGCCAAGATACGGATCCAAGCACCCTGACTATGGAATGTGCTGCTCGACGCACCCGAAGAAGCTGGAAGCACTGCGATTGTGCGGCAGAACTGCAAGAGTCGATGTCCGTGGCAACATCCAAAAGGACTTTCACATGCATTGTGCCCATAACAGTCGCGCTTAGTACTGTGACGGCCCGGCCCGCGCGCCGAACGTGACCACGAGAAGGCTTCGATGTTGGCTGGCGGCGCGAGTGCGAACTATGCGCCTGCACCGAAACAAGGAAGCTACTGGGTAGGTTGGCTGACAGTGTTGCTTTTTGGTGTAGGCGGCCTTTGAAGTGCTGACGTGGTTCCGCCCATGCATGAAGTGAATGGAAGAACTACAGCAACCTACCATGGCACGTGCGAGGTGTGAGAGCAAAGACCTTGCTGAAAACTTGCACCGCATTGTCAGGCCATGGAAAGCACGGTTCCTGGAGACCTCGCTTTGGGAGCTACAACTTGGGCTTACGCAATGCAGCTCAAAGGCGATGAGATGTCTGCAACACACTTGTAAAAAGAAATAATAGTATTAACACAATAGTACATAAAGGCAAGTATCAATAGTGAAGATCATAGTGCCATTAGTCATAACCAAACAATAAGAATAACTCCACCACTAGAAACCCTAATGGGGCGGGCTTCCATCTCCTGCTGCCAAGGTACGTAGCCGAGTGGAAGCTCCTGTCTGCCACGCCTGGAGAATGACCTGACCTCTTGCGATGCGCGGACAAAAGGGGCATCCTGTTTCCGTTCAGGGATGGTGCTGGCGTTGTGGATCGAAATTAGGGCATTTCTGACGCTTCTGCTACCTTTGTCTATCTTCTTGCGGTCAGCACAATGGTCGGCTCCAGCTAGGGAAGATTTCGCCGATGTCGAGGGCCATGGCAGGTTCGTGCCCCAAAAACCGGTGCCTGCTGGTGCATTGTCACTTCCGTCGCGGATTTCGAGGCGAGCAGCCGCTGTCGGCGCGGTCGTCTGACGGTGAGATGCGCAGCGTGTAAATGCGACCGTGGACACTGCTCAATTCTGAGCCTGTTTTCGTGCACCGAGGCCCTGCCAGCATGCAGCAACATGGCAGAATTACTGTCTGGATGGGAAAGCTGTGCTTCACGCTTCGTCTCCAGAAGCATCCTGGTGAACCACGGGGCCTCGAAAGGCAAAAAATGATGCGCCAGCGTGAGCTGGTGCTGAAGAGGCAGACAGAAGCAGCAAAATCCTTTGGGGTTGCATCCTGAGCTTCAGGCAAGACCCGTACAAGACTGCAAGGGTCTGGAAGAGCCACTGCACTTTGAGGTGGTCGCCCAGCAGCATCCTCCACCACGGCCAGCTGACACACCACGCCAGGCACGAGATCGGGGGCTTCTAAAGTCAAACTCCCAGATCTCTTGTGGCAAAAGCTCGGGAGCTTCTTTGCTTACTTCGAGGTGCTCAGTGCGAGGGCCCCGCCGGATGCACCACGGGTCGGCATCGTCGGATCCGCAGAAGTGCAGGAGGCACCCGGGTTCTGATTATATCTGCGCTCAGAGGTTTCAACAGTCACCCCCAATATTCCGACCAAGAAGCTTTTCTGATCATCTTTGGCAAGACTCGCATGCCGAATCTGCTTGCCTCTATACCCTGTGTTACAGGCCGTGGAGGCTGTCGTGGAGCATGACCAGATCCCACAGGCGTTTGCACACGTAACGCTGCGATTCTGTGTGTTAATTCTGTGGCGTGGAGGCCCAACCACTGGAACATTCATTGGCTTCATTGGAAGAAGAGCTTCTCGCCAGTGGCAAGGCAGCCGTCGTACTATACTATACTAGGTTACTAGGCTACACAATAAGTACTAAAAGATAAAAATTAATGGAATTTCATGGAGTATAATAGGTTCGTCCTAGCCAGGCGGGAGGCAAAAAAATGGCACATACTGGAATGCAATATAATCTTGCAGGCCATTGAGCTCGACGAGGCTGAAGACCGCGGTCGGGACCACTTAGGACACGGTCAGGTTCTCAGTGCGGGGGTGTGCCGCTGGCACCCAGCGGCACGGTCTTGTCCCAACACTTCTCGTTAACTCTCGGTCGGTTCTTGGCGACAGCACTGAGGCTGGGATCTGGAGGTGGACAGAGGCAGAGCTCAGAGCGCTCCGACAGCTAGACTCCTGTTCTTCCTTTGTCGTGGTTCTGCATCTGTGTTGGGCAGAGTTCAGCCAGGAAATTGCATGCACGAAGTCGTAGACATAGCGACGACAGTTACCTCCAATTTATCATGGTCGCAACTTGGGATACGCCGCTCCTTCCAAGCAAACGGACAAAAGCGCAGGCGACGAGAAGCAGACCCGCGCCAAGAGGAGCTTCTGGCGACCTTGGAAAGCAGAGCAGAGTGCCATGCTCTGCATTTCTCGGCTTTTCTGAGTGTTTGCAAGTGTTCCTCTTCCCAACTCCACCCCGCACACTGCCTGCAGCAGCAAGGTGATGCTGCAGCTCGGATGCAAGTTGTGCTTGGGATCGGACGCAGCTGTTCAACTGAGAGCTCATGCGGCGGCTCGTTCAAGGTGGCGAACTGTCCTGTTGACGAGGTGTCGCGCAACTCGGCAACATACGCACCCGTTGGCCACAAAATCAGCGTAGAGGAAGCGCTGAGGCGCACGATTGAAATAGCACTTCCACCTGCTGCCACACTACGAATCAGTGGCTGTCACCTCGCGACCGATCACCGAAATTTTTGCGAGACCAGCGAGCTTGATTTCCATACCCCAAAATGCAGTAGCTCCATAAGTTCAGGCTAACTTGAATCTCAGCCCTAAGGTTTTCGCGATGCTTTCTGTGCCTCCCAGGCGTGGATCTAGATGCCTTGAGTGGAGACTCTCCCGAGCCTGGACGAGACCGGACACTTCACTGCACTGTGGCTCCAGAATGCCGTGAGTTAAGAGATTTATATTGAGAGAGGCATAAGGGCTAGAGTTCTGTTCCGGAAATAGGAACGCGGATAAGTTGGCGGCCGGGATGTGCAGAACTCGTCGCGTTGTTCGCCTGTTTCGGGAGTGTGAGAGTCAGCAAGTCACACGAGGGGGAGTGTGCGAAGTTGTTCTCCAGTCTCCAGTTGCGAGTTAGTTTTGGCCAAGCTCAGGAAGCACGTAGGCTTCGGAGAGATGGAGGACGGCAGCATCCTCGGATGTGCCCAAACCGCGAAACCCGTGATGGCAGTGACGGTTGATTCTACCGAGGAACCTCGAAGTCTGGGGTCTGGGACTTGTTTCGGATGCTCCGGTCAGTCTACCGCCATTTGCCTTCGCTTGAGTTGGAGAAGTCATGCGGCGAGGCCACATCTGCTTTGAATATGGGGCGAGTTGCCACCCCATGGACGGGTTCATCCAAGGTTGGAGAGGGCAATTCGAGAGTTCCCCCCCTCCTCTTGGTGTACTGGTGCAGGCGGGCTTAGATTCTCTGCTCCCTGGAGAACTCCAGCAGGATAGGGCATCGAATGCCGGCATGATCGAGCAGGATCCATGCAACCATTGCGTTTGCCCACAGGACATGACATTGAGCTCATCGGCCCTTGAAATTGTGGAAGAGGGCACGGGCCATAAAGGTGTGAGAAGCAATCCCGTCCAGCCATGCCACAGCCAGATCCCCTGCAGGCTTCGCATCTGGACTCCCGCTTTCAGATAAAAACGCATGACACGACGAATCCGGCACAGCTGGGTTGACCAAGACAACTCTCTTCAGGTGTGGCTTGATGACTCGACATATTGAGAGGTCAGTGGGGGGCTGAACAACTCTTGCATGGAGGGCCGCGCGCTGAAACTAGCACTGCGCTCCTCCAAGGAAGGTGTGTGTTTCCACTGCGCGGGTAACCTTGTTGCAGAGCAGATGATTCACAACAGCGAGGTGGAATAGCACTTAGATAGGGCTGCTTGTCTCCAAAGGAGTGTAGCACCAACGATAGATTTTTATACTGTCTGCCACGCACTGTCTGCTGCCTGCCGAAGTTGGTACTGCAGATGCACGTGTGCAAAAGTGTTGCAAGCAGTCAGGCATGGGCCCAGACACCTAGCTTCCAGAAAGATGATCCCTGCCAATAAACGCTTTTTCGCTAGCCGAATACCGGCTTTCTACGTGAGGGGGTCATTTCTCGCTCGGACTTCAGCATGCGAAAGCGTGCCCGTTGCTGGACCTCGGATGTCTTTGCCTAAGATAGGCGAGACTTTGCAGAGTCCAGCCTAGCATCCTCTAGACTTGCCGAGACACGGGGGCCTGCCCTTTTCTTTTCGATGGAGCGCGACGTCTTGTGTTACACCTCTACAAAATGAAATGTTCTCCAGCACTTGGCCAGGGCTTCACCCTCTTTCTCTCGCTCTTTTTCTCTGCAAAAGCCATCATTGTGTAGCACCGCGTCTTCTTTTGGTCACGGCTTCAAGACTGCAAGCGGCATTCCAGAAAAAAGCTGCTGTGGATCGAAGCGGGCAGGAGGGTTGGGTTGTCGCTTGTGATTGCCCATGGGCCATTCTGCTCAGGATGTCTTGTAGATTGCTTGCGGAGGTGGCAGCCTTCAGGAACAGTCTTGAGCAGCAACGAACTAAGATCCAATCGCAGACGATCGATCACAGCGGGGAGCGGGCATTCAGAAATTCATGTGAGGCCTCAGCACACATTACCGCCCTCTCTCCCATGGGGCCCCCGGAGGATGCCCCACAAAAGGAGGGACAGGGACCCGAGGCCGAGGAGCACCAGCTCCTGGCTGGGGTGGTGCGCAGCTTGCAGGCCAGAGGCGCCTCCAACCGGCACGGCCACTTGGCATGGGGGAGCCCATTCTAGTATTAGTATTAGTATTAGTCTTGGTTCTAGAAATAGTATGGGCCATAACAAAAACTATAAGGAGCCCCGCCCTTCCCCACAACAATAAAAAAAAGAGTATCTTGGTAATTGTTTTTTGGCCCCTGTATTGTAGTGAAGTCAGGGAGGGCCGAGACTCGAGACGTCAAGGTTTCAGTAGCCGCTGAGAGGTCAAAGTTGGGCCGAGTGGCTGGAAAGAAGGGGCAGCGCGTCCGCCCGAGATCCGGCAAGGCCCGGCTCCGAGCTTCTTACCTTCTATATATATTATAATAACAATAAGAATAATAATCATAACCATAATCATAATCATAATCTTAATGCTGAAAGCCTGTGGAGCATTCCAAACTCCATGCAAGGCATGAGATCAGTGCCTTGAAAGCCTTCCTGGAGGAATGTGGATCTGGAGACTTGGGGAGCAAAGTTCTGCGCAACGACCGGAAGAGACGGAAGGTCAGGTTGGGTTGAAGCAGGCATAATGTGACTTGAGGGTGCGAAAGCACAATGAGGGCCCGAAATCCTAAAGGTGATAATAAGGCCTGCATGCACTGAAGCTAAAGACATGTGCGGGATTAGCGCTGCAAGGCAAAGGAGCAGCTCAAGGAAGCTCTTGGCAGTCGGGGCCCCGTCCTCTCAAATGGGAAAGGGTGGGCTGTGTGATGATCCGTGGATCGTTTTTGGATGTTGTTGCGATCAGGTGATCCGACTGCTACTCGCTTGCTGCGACTTGTGGAGCTCACAAGAGCTCACCCAAACTTCGGCCTCTTCTTCGGACTCGCCGGGCTCGGGGAAGGGAGAAGGTCCCTGGCCCGGGAGGGGGCTGCGGACTCGGAGGCTTTGCAGGCAGAGGACGTTCTCCTGGCGGTGGACTGCGAGATGGTTTCCACGGATCTGGAGGAGGACGCGCTGGCGCGCGTTTGCGTCTGCAACGCCCGGGGTGAGCTGCTGCTGGACAGGCTGGTGAGGCCTCCTGGGAAGGTCACAGATGCCCGCAGCAGTATCACCGGTATCGAGGCGAAGGACTTGGAGGTGGATTACAGCCTCGAGGATGCACAGGCCGACATCCTCGGCCTGATCCATCCATTGACGGTGGTTGTAGGTCACACATTACACAAAGACCTGGACGTGCTTCGGCTCGACGCACCTTTGGTTTTGGATATTTCCCTATTGCATCTTGTCATCATACCTCATAGCCTGCGGGGGGTATTTCAGCGGGGGGGATGGTTTGGAGGCTTGAGAGTTTGTCATTGATGGGTTTTGTGGTCTTCATGGATGAGCCTGCCGACATTTTGTCAGGTATGGAGTGGAGGGTCAACCAAAGCGGCGACCCGCATTGGCACAGCTGGTGCAGCACATACTCGGTCAGGACGACTTCCGTGCCACTGGGACGCACGACTGTGCCCAGGATGTGCTCGTGACGATGCAGATTGCTCTGCGGCGACTGAGAGGTTCAGGGCGCTCCAAAGAGATGCCAGCAATGATTTGGGTGCCTCCGGCCCCTTCAAGCGACTCAGACCTGCAGGCAAGGACGCTGTTCTTGCATCGAATACCGCGGCGAGCGGAGGCGATTGGTGCCATTACGAAGCTCTTCACCTCCTTACGAAGCGATTTGGCGTCTCAAGTGGAGGGCATCACAATGGTCAAGGGATCGGAGGGATCCGGAACAGCCCTGCAAGGTGCCAGGGCCTTGTTCTTGTCTGCAGAGGCAGCCGAAAAGGCATTTCTGTCACTTGCGGCTGAGTCTATCGAAGTTGACAAGGCGGGGGACCTTGATTTGGGTTGTCTTGTGTAAGTTTTGGTCCTGGTGTGGGACTTCAAGAGACGTCTTAGCTGTCTTAGCGTCTTAGCTGGTTGATGTTCGGGAGCTTTGATTCTGGAGGTCCAACGGCCGCAGAAGATGGTGCGCATCCACTTCGAAGACCGGGACACTTTGATTTGTGTTCGGCCATGCCTGGGTGGAGTGGGCAAGGCTTCCCTGGCGACTCCCCAAAGTGAGAAGCGTCTCCAAGCCGACGTACCAGAGGCGAGGCTGGTGAAGACGGCACGTAAGGCCGCGGCCAAGGCCAAGGCCTGGATTCTGGATGCACAAACATGGAACCCTGATACTGATTGTATGATGTGGTGATGGTGATTATTACGATTATGATGATTAATATTTTTTACTACCAAAAATTTATTTATATCTATCATTACTAACTTGAATTTTTAAAATTAGCCGATAACAAGGAGCCCTGAGCATTTCCACCCCGTGCAGCCTTTGACCGGTGTTGCCTCAAGGGCCCGCGGTTTTTTTTTTTTTGGCGAGGGTTGGCCCGGGTGGCGTCGAGCCGCCGAGGAGGCGCTGCGGGATTCCGGTGGCTCGGCCCCTTGGAAGGACAGAAGTTTAGGGCTTAGGGGTTTAGGGTTGAGGGGTGTAGGGGTTTAGGGTTTAGTTGCTGTCTTGTGGAGTTTCCTGGCTGGTTGCGAGAGTCCTGGATGCAAAAGGGTTTAGGTGTTAAGGGTTTAGGGTTTTAGGGTTTACGGTTTTAGGGTTTAGGGAAGCATCGCGTGCGATGTGCTGCGGGGGGATTTGGCCGGGCGAGCCTCCAATCAAGCCTGTGTAAAAAGGGTTTAGAGAAGGCAGAAGGAGGCAAGGGATGCGATCAGCTTGGGCAGAGAATGCCGTGTCCGATCAGAGTCCTGATTCGTGTCGAGTTCATACACCTTGCTTTGCGAGGGTTTACATGTATGATTCTGTGTGCTAGTTGATATTTCGGTCTTTGCTTCGGGACCACCACGGGGTGCCGTACTTTTTTTTTGCATTCCGCAAGGTCAAAAAAATACTGTGTGGTCACTCCGTGTTGCTGGGTCCTACCGATCTAGAGCAAGCACAGCCGGGAAGGACTTGCTGGAGGCCATGGTTGCCAGGCGACGCACGCAGGCCCGACTCGAAGCCATGCAGCGCAGACTTTCAGTTGAGAAGCTCAGCCTTGTGTCGACGAAGTTGGAGATACCAGGCGGGCGGCCGCCCTGGTGAGGCAGAGGAGCTCTGGGCCTCTGAGCCCCTTGGCCCCAGCTCGTAGGTTCGTGACTTTGCGAGGAGAGCCGGGATGTGTTGGAGCTGCGAGCGCTGTCCGCCTTGCCCGAGGATTCGCGGCTTCCCAAAGGGCCTCAGAAATCTCTCTCTTGCGAGTCGACTTTTCCGTGCGAGGAGTATCTCAGTGATGCCGATCCGATGGTACGCCTGCCCTCAAGCGGAAAGGGCTGAACTTATCGGTTTCGAGATGAGAAAAACACACCTGAAGCGATGCAAAGTCATGGAGTGAAGGGTGTAAGGCAAGGGGGCAAAAGTGTAGAGGCATGTGACCCGCTGCTGCCGCAACCGCTTCGGCCGATCAGACTTCTGGACGTCATGTGTGCAACAATGCGCGGCCTCACAAGACATCAGTCTGGGTTGTCAAGTTATGGAACCCCATGTAAAGGCAGAAATCACAGACATTGCATTTCAAGGTGGACATAAACTCGTGTTTAGACACCGAGTGCTGCCGAATCTTCCCCGACACGACCGCGCGTTCTGGTCCGACACAGTTGTGCCGGAGGCTGATGCTGATCCTGGCGGCTGGTTGTCGCACAACGCTACTGGTAGTATGGGATGGATTTCCGGACAGGCCAGGGCCAGCAAATGGTTCGAAGCGAAGCCCACCCACCGCTGCCCGATGGCGAGCGACAGGTACGGGTCGTCGTGTTCAAATTTGATGCACGGAATTCTCTCACCTCAGAATGCAAGTGATGGGTTTGAGAGTGCCAGGTCCATCGGCAGGCGTCGCACCTCCTTCGTGCGAAGTCGGCACTTGAGCCTCCGTTCGATTACTCAACAACGCGGGGTGCCGGCAAGAGCTGCTGATCCAAGGACCTGATGCATGCCACCATCGTGGACATGCAAGCCTCCATCCCCTGTCTGCGCAGAGCCTTGAGATCCAGAAGTGAGGACAATGTCTCTCTGTCTCCGTCGTATTCCACAAAGTGGTGCGACGTTAGAGAAATGGAATCCCAGCATTGTGTCGCGCAAGGGCAGAGACCAGAAGATGAGGTCGGTGATGCCATTGAATTGCAAGGCTGAGGTGAAGGCCTGATTCATTCTGATTTTTGTGTTTCGTTTTGCATCCGCAGCGTTCGAAGCAGAGCGACGCTGAGCAGTCCATTCCTCGAGTGAAGTTTTGCATCGTAACATGGGACTCATTCGAGGCATTGAGCAGAAGGACAGAACGGCAAACCCGGCACGGCCTCTTTCTAAGCCGTTCGTCCCAAGCCAGATTGTACAGCACGTCACATCTGTTTCTGAGCACTCACCCTGAGCAGGCAAACACAGCTCTGTAGTGGCACGACGGCAGGATCAGAGACAGACAAACATGTCCTCCATGCAATGGGGCATTGGCACAGTCCCCTTTTCGGTGAATGCCAGGCCAGCAACGGCCAACTTACATTCATCGCATTGGTGACTTGTGCTATGCCTGCTTGGGTGACCGGCCTCACTCAAGTGCCTTCGTGCCAGCTGAACATTTTCTTTCCAGCTGACCATTCACCCGACGTGGGTGTGAGCACGAGGGGCCAGTGGAGGGGAAAGCGGTGAGTGATGACATGCCCTTGAAGAACAACGACATGACGCGCTTGAGCCTGTTTGTTTGAGGGGTTCGTAGATCATACAGTGTAATACAGTATCAACCTCCCTCCAGGCAGGGCTGACATTTGCCACGGCTGAGGCTCGGCGCGAGGCTCCTGCTGCCCTTACCCACTTTTGAATACTGTTTGGGCATGACGAAGCGAAGCCCGACTCCGGCGATGCAAGGTGGCACGACACCCTATCCCGAACCGAAGCCGCCGAAGCCGTATACGGCTACAGCTGTAATATTAAAATTTAGGTGTTCGGAGACCGCCGAAGGCGGCGTTCGGGCATGGTCTGAAGGCAGGGAGCTTGAGAGAGTCAAGCCGAAGTCCGCAGATGATGAAGATGAAGAAAGAGAGAGCGGCCACAGGGGAAGTGTAGGTGCCAGGACTTCCCAAGCCCTTATAGTGTCCAGCCCAGTCACCTGAGGAAACTCCTCAGGTGGAGGTCAAAACCCTGTCGACCAGGTGCGCGCTCGCGTGCGTGGGGTGGGGTGTCCGCCCTGTGCCTCAAAAAAGCGGCGAGAGAGAGACAGAGAGAGAGAGAGAGAGAGAGAGAGAGAGAAAGAGAAAGAGAATGAGTAGATCAAGTGGGTGGCTTTCTTTTGGGCAGTCTACTCATGCGGCACTTCTGGTTCATTGCAGGCTCTTCACATGCGTCGCGCGGGGCGGACGCATCATCTCGGAGAAGCGGCAGACGCCAGGAGCCAGGAGGTTCAGGAGTTTCGAAGTGCATTTCTACGACAGACAGCGACTAGTGCTCTGGTGAAGCCAAGTCAAGAGATCTATGAAACTCCCCGGTCGCTTCCGGAAAGGGCTTCATCAAAGAGGACCGCGAGCACGAGTGACACTGGCCATGTCCAGAGTGAGACGGCAACACACCCCGATGCAGTTCACGTGGAAGCCCGAAGCAGCAACATGGAGAGCTCCAGCTTGGAAGCAGTCGACCTCGCGCGTTTCGATCGTGAGCCTGCTGGCAACTTGGGAAAGCGCTCAACTTCCAAGACGTCAGCAGATTCAGCCAGCAGCAGGTGGAAAATTTCGCCTAATGGAGGAAGCTCGCTGGAATTGCGAGCGGCAGTGAACTTGCACCGGGCAGACTGTGAAGATGATGCAGACATCGCGGACATTTTCTCGTCACAAGTCGGACAGCCGCTTGAAAAGATTCCGAGTCAATCTCCATACGAGTCTCCAGCAAACAGTCCTCCCGCTGTAAGCCCCATGCCGAGCGGGCGTGGAGAGGGAAGCCTCAAGCAAGAACGAGGAGCCACCGAGAGCAGGCTGCAACTGCCAACGTCAGTTTCACGCTCGCCTCGGAGTTTGAGCCCTCCACAAAGGCCGCCGCAAGACTCAATCAGGGACTCTGTGGATGCCAGGTGGAGAGCTCGTCAGGAGATTTCGCCCGCGTTGGAAGAGTACATCACCTGGCTGGAGGCGCGTCAGGCGCCAACGCCTCAACAGTCGCCGCTTGCTTCAGTTCAGTCTGGCCGAAAGCACAGCAGCACCGTGAACAGTGCGGGCAGCATCCTCTTCCCGGAGAGGCTTTCCCCCCAACCTGGTAATTCAGTCAGCCTCGCCAACAGCCTTGCAAGCAGCATGGCCAATGAGCTTCTGGGGAGTCGTGCATTGGCATCACGATCGCTTCAGGAATACATCCTCTGGCTGGAAGTACAGGATGCCAAAGCGGAAAGTGGAAGGCGTTCCAGTTTGACAATCAACAGTCTTGCCAGTTCAAGTGCTGTCGACGTGCAGGCGATGTATGAGGCAGAAACATCAAGAGCTGTGGAAAAGTATTGTGCTTGGCGTCAATTGCAGGATGGTGGCAGACTCAGGCACCTGGACAAAAGCGGCAGCAACATGTCCGTTGAAAGTGCAGCGTCACATCAGCTTCATTCGAGTCCAAGCTCGGACGCAATTCAGCGGCTACTTGAGGAAAGCGGTGGGAGCGCACCTGCAATCAGAGAGTACCGCCAGCAATTGGGCTTCTCCGATTCGTCGGGCTCGTCAGAGCAACGAGGTGACAGCAAGAAGAGAGTCTACACCGTTATCAACCTCCCACCTTTGGATGAAGTCTCAGACGACATGATCGATGGTCTCTTTGCAAGCAGCGACCCGAAGCAGAGCTCGGGTAACAACACCTCCTCAGCGAACCTCCTGTCACACAGTTCTGACTCGCACTCAACCGCGCGTGCGCAAGTGCTGTCCAAATCATCCGACGGATCTGCGTCTGGCTCGAGTACGCGCAAATACATGGACCCTCGATGTCTGTCGAGCTTTGGCAGTGACAGTCTTTTGGATGATCAGATGCTGAGCAGCGGGGGCAACAGTCAAAGCCTTGAGCAGATGGGCCGCCAACGGCTACAGACCGGCCACGCTGCGGTGCGCAGGACCGGCCGTGTGGAAAACGGTGCCGTCGGAAGCGATGCACCGCCGCAAAATGCGAATGCGAGAGCCTCTGGCAGCTTTTGTGGCAACGGGTCGGTGATCAAGCAGGATGCAACATGGCCATCAGTGAATCCTGCGAATCTCAAGAGCTTCGAGAGTGACGCATGCGCCGACAATTCGCGCAGTGAGAGCTCTGCTTTGTCGAGCCTGCATGAAATTCCGAGCAGGTCTGTGGTGTCTGTGTGCGGTGCATAGGGAGCTTCCCCGGAGGTCTATCACTCCACTGCGCTGGAGATTCCAATTCCTGCTTAGTGCTTAGCCGAGTGCTACCATCTGCAAATAGCAGAGGTGCAGCATCGGAAATGATTGTCTGGTTGCATCACGAGTATGCCCGTACCTCGCACGCACTCGTGCGGGCAGTCCAACCACCACTCGGCTGAATGTTGCAGGTGGCATAGCAGGAGCAGGCACCGACATATGTAGTGGCAGTGGTCTGTCAGCAAGTGCCAGGGAGTGGTAGTTGGACATGATTGGACATGTTTACAAGTAGCTCGGTGAGAGTGTCTCAGTTTCGATTGGGTATTCAGAAGATGAATACCATCGTTTCTCCTGGCCATTTTGCACCTTTTGGTGGTCTTCTCAGCACAAGTACCGGTTGTGTTAAGATTCTCTTCATGGTATGCTTCGATCAAGAAGTAGACTTTGTGTTTTGGCAAGTTCAGTGGGTGCCCGCGACCACTGTATCGGGCTTTCACAAGAGCTTGCTGCTGAGTAAGTACCGCGCGGAAGATATTCGTGGAATGCGCGGCGAAGGAAAGACAGCCTTGGCCATCGGCACAGATAGCATAGGCCGTGCTCAAACTTTGAGGCAGACTGCAAAGGTTACAGGTACCTGTCGCCGGGGCTCGAGGCACTTGATCTATGAAAGTCTGACGTGGAGTAGCGCTGTAGAGAGATTGAAGATTAAAACAAGATCGCTTCAAGCTCAGCTGAGCATAGCTTAGCGGCCCAGCACTCACCATGGCTGCTGTGCCTCTTGTGCTCTACGACATCACGAACCAGGCTGCACCTGACGGCCCCGGGCTTAGTCACGGAATTACTCCTTTCTAAGAGAGCGCACACTGCCCGTACAATCCCTCCAGCTGTCGTTTCGATGGCTCTGGTGAGAAATAGATCTGCCAGCCACTGTGAAAGCAACAATGCGAGCATAAGGCTGCGACCTTCTCTGCACGCCGGAGACGCTGCGAACTCCAACTGGAAAGCCTTGCAGTTCGTACTTCACAGAGGATGACAGCGAGATGTATGAGCAGAGCCACAGAGTGCCGCAAAGTGGACGACCATCAACATGCGGTTGCAGGGCATTGTCGGAGGGGTCTTGTCTTCGAAGGAGCTCCGTTGGGAAGTCGCAAGCTCGGCGCACTTCGATCTTGGAGCTTGGACCAGAGGAGAGAATAAGAGCTTTGGGTGTGCCTGAAAGACTCGGGCATCTGCCTCGCAGAAAGCAAAGTCTTGGGCCGCCGCAAAGGAAACAGCCCGGTGCAGCCCGACCCCAGACACCCCGCGAGCCTCTTCATCCAGCTGCACTGTGTTCCGCCCAAGCCGAAAGGCCGAGAGGTTCGAGGAACGTACCAAGCCACCCGTTTCCTGTGACCCCCAGGCGGACAAAGCCTTGTGCTAGGGCAAGAACAGTAGGTCCTTGCACGCCACGCTCACCACACCTTGCGACGTCCTCCAGGCCTGAGAGGGCTTTGAGGCCCGAGGCGCAGCGAAGGAAGGCGCCCGCTCCAGTCGCCAGGTGGCGCTACTGAGCCGACTGCGCTGCACGCTGCAGGCCTGTCGAGGCAGCCCAGGCAGCGGCGCGCTGGATCACAGCGCCGCATGTAGTCATATAGCCATTAATTGGATGCACAGCTTGCACGAAATTCACTGGCGCCAGCTGTGGTAAAGCTTTGGCCGATACCTTGGCACATATCATTATGTAATATGAGGTTGCTACCATCGGACCGATAGCAGTGCCGCAGCTCAGGCGGCCAGGGCCGCTTCTGAGACCATGAAGCTTCAGGTTGATTGGCCCCGGTGTGCTGCGCCCTTGGACGCCTGCATTTGTACAGATTGCAGATGAGCCTGGTGTCCGAAGCAGAAAAGACATTCCCGTGATTTGGTCTATTTGGTCTAAGATCATGTCTACTCTACAGGGAACCAATGATTTATAGCTGCTCTTTATCCGCCTGCTGGAGGTTGTCGAAGCCACACGGTGCCATGCTGGCAAGCGGAGTCCCCCGAGCAGGTGCTGCACTGCGGCTTCCTTAGAAGTGCTGAAGTATCCTGCGATGCCCAGGTGCCTGCATCTCCAGCTGCCTGTCCGAGCTGTCAGAGCTTCCGAGGCTAGGACAATCCTGGGGGTTTGGGTCGATGTCGATGCCCACTCATATTCTTCTCACTCGAACCTAAAGGTTTCCCTCAGGCCTAGTAGTGACCCCAGCCGGAACTGGAGTGTATGTGATCTTTCAATCAGGGGTTGGAATGATAGCATCCCGAAGAGCCGAGATGAAGAGCCTAGAAACATCTAGAAACTCCTTAGGATCCAGGCCTTGTAGCCGAAAAGGGCGTGGTGCCTGGTGCGCGTGCATTCTGCAGACTTGAGCATCCGCTTCGTGCTTCGTTTTGCATGTTTTGTTGCCCGAGGAAAAGCTCTTCTTGTGTTGGAGACATGTTCGAGAAACTGCAGACTCGTGTTTGATAGCGCGTTCTCCGTGAGCGTTGTCGGGTTAGCCCTTTGGGGGCATGCGAACGTGAACAAAGACCCGGCAGGGACTTGCACGAGCATTTGCCCATTCTAGAGCAGTTGCAAGTAGCTCGCTTGGAGAGGCGTTCGTGCTAGAAAGCCGAGTGGACAGCTAATGTTCCGAGATGACCAGGTGGCAAAAGGCGCTGCTTGCCGGTTGTGGTCTTATTGCGGTCGCCGGCGCTGGCTTCTACATTGCACAAGCAGAAGCAGGCGATGCCCACGCCTACCAGGCGGGGCTCAGCTTTACCCGGTGAGTTCAGAGCTGTTCCGCCGTCACAGGTCGAAGATGTGAATCGCTTTTACCAAGTTGTGGATCCCGACATGGGCATCAATCTGCGTGCTGAGCCCGACACCTCTGCAGCAGGCACTGCGTATGTCCTCATTCCCGGCGAGGCGTTTCACGTATCTCGCGTTATCCGGCATGGAGGCCAAGAGTACCTCTACCTTAGCGATGGGCGTGGGTGGGCCTTTACACGGAGCAAAACTGGTGCACGGATCTGTGAAGGATGTACTGAAGAGGAGGTGCCTAGACTGCCTAGTGGGCCAGCTCCTGCATCCCAAGTTGGTGGCCCGTTGTTTGGGATTCTGAGAGCTCTGAGGTACAGAAAGCAGGAGGCACTGCCTTGGATCAGGTGGAGGCAATGCTCAGGAGCAACCTTGTGCTTTGCAAGCAGCTCGAGACTTCGGAGACATCAGAGGCCGGGACCATTTGGGAGGGACCCTGTGTGGAAAACGGAGTTTGCGATGTTTTGAACACCTTTCGGCCCAGGATTCCCTCAGGCAGATGGCCAAGAGGGTGCTGCTTGCAAAAGAAGAGATGCCGAGCTGACCGGCCACAAGAACAAGCGTTTGAGAGAAGACGTTAATACCTGCTGAGCGTGCTTGGGTGGTGGGCGTGAAGCGGTTCCGTCTGCAGCCTCCAAAGTTGCCCAAAGCTCTAGGCCCGGAGAGCTGTGACGAGTGCATAACAGATGCTTCATTTCTCTGCAACTCGGCTTGCCGGATCGGGCGGCGATTCGGTGCAACAACCCGGTGCCCGCGCAAATGCTGGGGGTGCTCGCGATTGCAAATGGCAGCAGCCGTGAATCCGCGCAGTGTCGGCTCAAGCCACCGCTGACCTCTTGGGCCACGCAATTATGTTGTACTATATTATACTATATTATAATATTATACTATAATATACTACATTATACTATATAATTATACTATATTACAATATAATAGTATATTATATAGTATTTTTTATCAGATGAGTCCATCGTTGGGCCGGCGCGAGGCCCAGGGCTCCTCTGCTTGCAGAATCTGTGGCAGCATGTGTTTGCCTCCTCTTTTTATTTTTTGCTTCCGGGCAGTTGCAGGAGGGTGGTTGTAGAAGCCCAGTGTGCCCTGCTTGTTGCGGCTCAAGCTCCGTTCCTGCAGTTCGGTGGAGCGGTGATCGCGCTCCGTTGCTTTGGCTTATGGATTGGGACTATTTGGCCGGCTTTGTGCTCCTTTGCCTGCTGCTGTCTGTTGTCTTTGCAGTGCTTGGGCAGTTTGGAAGAAACAGTGGCGCCATCAAGCATTGAGAATGACGTCCATTGTCCGAAGGAGGTTGTTTGGAGCACGGTCTCTCAAGCTTGTCTCGCTTCACCTGGCTGGGCAGCAGCGGCATGTGGTTGCAAGAGCTGCGCAACTTGCTGGGGCGCAGGGGCCCATCGAGGAGTTGCGAAGTGATGTTGCCAGAAGGTTCACACAGGCTGCGCAGGGAACGCCGCCGAACATCAGCAGCGGCCAGCTTGTTCAACTCCTCTTCGAAGTCGGAGTCGTTGATGTCAAGACACACTCGGTTGGCGAAGTAGTAAACTTCCTCATGGAGCACGGCTTTTATCGTCAAACCCATCCTCAGAAGCGGGACTCCTATGGTCCAGCACCGCCACCCAAGCTTGGGATGCTGGAGGCCCAGCGCTGGGCTACCCTCCTCTTCTTCAGGCGCATGCAGCAAAAGCCCCTGGCACTTGGGAAGGCCATGACGGAAGCCACCAAACCGATCTGCGGCAGCGCCTGGTGTTCATGTCCACCCGGGGCAGCTGGAACAGATCTTTGCGCCTTGAGCAAGAGGAACTGAGCTGCACTGCTACGGGCTTTCCTTGTGCACCGGTCATCCAGTCGTCAGGCGGAATGCTAGGCTGCTAGACTCACGAGCACCTGTGCTTCTGCAGGCACCCGAAAGCGACAGTCAGAGAAGGCTTCACTCCCTCAGTAAAAAGACTGGTCGCTGCCTGCCCCCTGTTCGACAAAGGCTTCTCTTGCGCCAGAAGCATCTTAACTTGCTTGCGAGGTTCTGGGGCGATCCGGGCTCAAGCTTCCAGTGCGAAGCTGGAGAAGGCGCACCGCGGCTTTGAATGCTGCGCCATTTGCTATTGAAGTCTCAGGAGCAAGCTCTTTTTGCAGCTCCGGTTCTTTCGACCAGGCGGCATTCGCTTGGAAAATAGAGTTGCGCGATGGGCTGAAGTCAACATGTCGCTGATTGCACGCCTCTTCGGAGCTTTACGCGCAACTCATATGCCTGCAGCCGGTGATGCATGTCCTGCTTTCCTAGCGTCCGAGCGGCATGAATTCACAGCAGCATCCCACGTGCTGCGGACCCTTGCATGTTCCCGGGTTCGAAAAGCTGGCAACGCTGCACGCGCCTGAGTCTGCCCTAGAGTCTAGAGGAATGAATGCCTGTCCCCAGAGTCGAGTGCCCAGGTCGCTGGCAGTGTTGCCGAAGCTGTCACGCAGCTCTGGGGTGTGCGGGACGTGCGGGTGTGTCGAGTCGGCGTCACCATCCAAATCGTCTGCGAGTGCTGCAGCAAAAGCGGCCTGACTGAACCCGGCATGCATGAGGAAGACGCCAGCAGCCTGTCCATGTGCGCCTTCCGAGGTACGAGTTTAAACTCTCCAAGTTTGCTGAAGACCACCGTTGGCCTGAAGCTTTGTCAATGCTTCAGACCATGCGAGATCGGATGCTGGATCCGAGTGCACCTTTGCTTGCAACCAGAAGACAAGGACGGACTCTTGCGGGTTCGGAAGTTGATTTTTTCAAGCCTGATGCAGCGATGCGACTGATCCCAAGGAACCAAGCCGGGCACTGGTCGTGAAAGCTTTGTCGTTGGCGGGTCGCTGGATCCGTGCGCCCTTTGCTTAAGAGTAGCGAGGCACAGTAAGGACATGTCCGAGTGTCGAGCGGGGCGAGGTTTGATATGCTCTCCAAGCTGCAGAAATGGTGGGCCTCTTAGCAAAGTCGCTGCACTCTGAAGGCCCGCCTCCCTTGCAAGCATGGCTTGGCATTGCGACACTCTCCGGGAATTGAATAGAAGGGAGCAGATCGACATCGCCGATGCAGGCAACCTGGCAAGAGCAACACAAACATCATGCCAAGCGCAATCAACAAGCAATAGCTGTTGTCTTCCTGCTCTTCGTCATCGTCATGGTGATTGTTTCGCAGCCCGAAAGCTGCTGGAGTGGTGGTGGTGGTGGTGGCGGTTTAGGAGGTGGTGAGGTGGCGGATGTCAGAGTCTTTGCCCAGTCTGTGCCCAACAACCTGAGTGCCGCTGAGAATTGTCAGTAGAGGTAGCAGGCGTCGTCATCGTCGTCGTCGTCGTCGTAGTAGTAGTAGTAGTAGTCGTCGTCGTAGTAGTAGCAGCAGCAGCAGCAGCAGTAGTCGTGGTCGTGGTCGTAGCCGCAGTGGTAGTTGAGTGGCAGTGGCAAGTGGCAGTGGCAGTGGCAGTTGTGCTCAGTTAGTGTGGTTTTGCGGTGTGGTGGCAGTGGCGGTGGTGGTCGTCGTCGTCCCAGTCTTAGGAGCTGACTCGAGGGAGGGCAAAGCCAATGCTGTCTTTTTCGACTTTCGCGCGGGGACATCTGCCGGTATGTGCTGCAGTTTCAACGACGGGGTCACACGTGGCCAGTTCACTCACGCTGCCACGAGCCGTCGACTTGAATGTGTATCTGCACCGAGTCAAGCGCCCACTGCTGCCCGTGACAAGTTCAGGTGTGCTGCCCGGCAGCAAGCACCCAGCAGTCTAGCACTGAGCAGCGGTGTCTTTGCTTGTGCCTTGGCGAATGCTTGTGTTTAAGTCAGCTTTGAGCAGTACGCTTGCATGGGAGTGTCCGAGTTCTGGGGAGTTGCCGGGTCGTCAACAAAGCTGCAACACTCGGGTTTTGGGTTGATTGCCCGACGGCAGGGATTGGGGGGAAGAGTAGAAAAAAGCTTTCCCGGGCCCTGGAGGACGTCTTTTCGGGGATGTGCTGCTCAAGTGTGCCAGGCAAGAAGGGTGCACAATGGCGTGTAGCCTTGGTCCTTCTTGCTGAAGCGGAACAGCTGGTGCCTAAGGTGAAGAGGGGTCTGCCAGCCTTGCACTGATGCAACGCATTTCTGCTGGAGTTATCGGTGTGAAACATTAATACAACCGCAGCTTCCTCTCAAGCCACGTGAGGGTGGCATCCAGAGAGGCTGGCTCATGGCTGACGCCTTGGCCAGCCTAGGCCAAGGTTCTTCGAATGCAAATGTGGCAAAAATTGCCATAGAGCAACGGCCGCTCAGTGGCATTACATGCCCCGTCAAGACTATAAGATGTCGCAGCGAGATGCAGGATACCGACGCCAAAAATGACTGTAGCCAAGGAAGAAGAAGGCCGAGGTTGTGGAGCCGCAGGTGATCAGCGAAGAGCTCCTCATCGAAGGTGTCGAGGAGCCTGTCCGAACAGATGGCAAGGCGTGGCCAACCAATGAATTTCCGCAAGTGACCTCACTTCGTCTGTCCTTCAAGAACATTATCGAGGCAGGGAGGGAGCAGAGTTTTGGTTTCATGTGACAATGTTGAGCTTCTTTCACCAAGATTTCGAACTTGAACAACTTTGACACCCTGCTGACGCTTCGGCTTGACAACAACATCATCGACAAGTCACCTGCCGCGCAGAGATCATGATTGGCTTGAGTCTTCATTGTGATGCTGCATGTCTTTCATGAAAGTGTAGCAGCAGCAGCTGACTTCCGGCATGATCCAACAAGCTGGCTCGGCAAGGGTTTCCAACCTGGGACACTTGAGACAGCTGACCTGGCTGGACCTTTCCTTCAACAACATCCGTTGCTTTGTTGCACTATCAGCGGCTGTGTTTGTGATGCAGGATCGTCTCCATACACGGGGGGCAGCAGCCAGCACCGCCACACAGTGGTCCACACTGCAGGTGAAATAGAAGGGTTGGACGACTTGCACGAGCTGCTGGATTTGTCCCTGTACCACAACCAAATCGAGGAGATCAAAGGCCACCTTCTGTCATGACATGGTTGTAGTGTCCGAACCCGGTGGTGCTGTTGCAGTGTCCTGCTGCTGCTGTTGTTTGTTGTTGTCTTTTGCTATCGTTCCCTTGAACTTGATAGTATTTGTATCAATGACGAACTTGGCAGTAACTAGGCTTGATGCTGCGGCTTTGTATGCTGTGCCAGACCGACTGGACGGTTGCCCGAAGCTGAACATTTTGTCCCTGGGCCACAACAACATGAAGGACTTGATGCCTGGCCTGCAAGAAGCAGCTTCTTTTGCCAAAGCTCTCTGCGGGGGCATCTGGCTCGGCATATGTTGCAATTCCTCAGGAAGCAGATCGACTACCTGCGCCAGTTTGCCAATCTGAGATGTCTGTGCATGGAGGGTAACAAGGTGTGCAACCATGACTCCTACAATCAACATGTGCCACGGGGACTGAAGCTAAGCAGTTGCCGCCCTGATCCCGGCTGACTCAGATGTAAGCTGCATTTCGAATCTAGCAATGAGGCTCGCATATCTGCCGCATCTCAAGTATTTGGACTACATGCTCATCGACCGCAAGGCACAGTTGTACCTGCAGCAGCCCCGTAGCGTAGGGGTTGCAGAAGAGAGACGGGTCTGCCGTTCTGCATTCTACTGCTGTGGCAGTTTCGGCAAGTTTCTGCTGCTACCGTCCTTCAATGAACCCAAAACCCTCTCTGAGCCGAAACCCAAAACCCCAATCCTTGTAAAGCAGACGCCAGAAGCCCGGAGAGCCCGGAGGCCGTGGCCCAGGCACAGGAAGGCTACAACCTGGAAGAGCTTACCGAGGCCTGGAAGTGTGGCTCACGGTTTACGGTATAGGGTTTAGGGCGTGCTGCTTGCTCCAACTCCAGGCGAAGTGGAAAGCCTGTTGCAAAAAGAGTTTTGTAAACCCTGTCCTGGTTTTGCTGTACCAATGATTGAGCTTTGCCAGAGGCCTTCGTGGGGACCTGGCATCAAACGCCAAAGCCCGTATTGCCCAAGACACTCCAACATTGCGTGCGTAAGCCACACCAAGTGCTGGATTCAAGGTCTACTTGGATGCGAGAGCTTTGGGTACTTGCGTTTATTTCAGGTTGGGCGGATAGTGTTGAACTAGGAATGACGTCTGACATGTTGCCGCAACAGTTGTCCTGTTCAGATATGGCTGTGGCAGAACGTACTGGGAGCGGCACCATTGCCCGTAATTCAATTAGGATTGTTCCACGATGCTCTGAGTCACTTCAGTGCCACAGGTTCGCCGTGTAGGATAACACGACGTGCGACATGAAATCCGCGACATGAAGTGGGAGTGCCGCTAAGAAAGCTGTCACGCTGCAAGCTTTGTGGATGTGCGAAGCGCAGACCCCTTGCGGCAAGTCCCAGGGTGCTTTCAAAATCCTGTGTGTCATGCAGCCGTCGGCACAGATGGTCTCGCCAGGTCCGCGAGAAGGAGCAGGCAGAGCACATGCAGCAGAAGGCCAAGGCAGTAGCTTGGCCAAAGATGATCAGCAGCCGGTGGTTCTCAGCCCTACGACGTGTTTGAGACCCCAGCCGTGTGGTGACTCGAAACGCATGCAAGCGCTTCATTTTATGATGTAAACTCAGGAAAAGTCGGCCACAATTGAGAAGCTGAAGAGCCTTGGCTGACCAGTACAGGTGCGCAAACTGATTTCTCCATGTTCAATTTGTGCCTGGCTTCAGGACGGCATTCCTCGATTGCACGGAGGATTTGTTCGAGGAGATGTTCTCCAGGGAGGTGGAGCCTGAGAATGTCTTGGTCTTGCAATGCTATCAAGGTCTCAAGGAGGACTTCGCCCAGTGTGGAGGGGTGATGTGGCGAGCGAGGGTGAGCATTTTTGCGAGTTCTACGAAGGCTTCTAAGGATGACCATCATTGCTGCTACTTGAAGGCAGAACGATTTTCACGGGCAATGTGCTGCCCGAGTCGTGGGTCGGTACTGCATGCAAACCTAATGCTCTTTAGGTGTGCTGCACCCCTCGGCTAGTCGGCAGGACTATCGAGACAAGCTCTCCGAAGAAATCAAGGGTCTTCGAGCTCGAATGGAGGAGCAGAGCCAGCAGCAGGTATGTCCTCTTGCCGTGAATGCGCGTCTGGCAGGAGAAGAACGAAGTTCGGCTCAGGAAGGTTTCAGCCTTCGAAAAGGCTGCAGAGATGCCAAGCGTTTAATTGCCGGCTAGTCGAGCTCCTTCGGGAGCACATCGGAGTTAACAGGCGATCTACGCTTCGGAGAAAGAGAGTGAAGACGAAGCCTTCCAACAGATCCGAGACTTCAAGAGTGTCAAGAAAAAGGTCCTGCAGCAGCCCAAGCTGTGATCCGGGGCCTGAGGTCTTTCGCTTGGCCTGAACATGCTGAGACATGCCGAGGTCCCAAGTGGACAAGGAAGATGGGGCTAGGGCAGAGGTTGATGACCTGCTGAAGCACTTGCTTGACGAACTCGGCGACTTGGAGAATCAGCTCATGGCGAACGAGATCGCGCTCCAAGAGAGCTGCTTGTCAGCAAGAAGGAGAAGCATTGCGCGGGCCGGCATGTGCTCCTTCGAGGTATCGAAGAGGCACTGTCCGATTTCGAAGCCAAAACCATGGATCTTGTGAAGAGCATGCTGGACAACAGCCGGGAGTTCTTTACGCGGCTGGAAGACTTAGAGAAGAGCTTCCTCACGGGACTCACCGAAGGCCACGGCTTGGAGCGTTTGCTACGCTTTTTTTTGCACGGGGGGCTTGGAAGAGGGTGGGGGTTCTTTCCTCACTCCTGGATGCCTGTACAGGTGCCAACAGTGAGATCGAAGCCTTCACTCAGACACAAGAGTCGGCGATGGCAGATACCGACCCACAGAAAGCTAAGTATCTCAACAACCGCGAGGAGATGAACCAGGCCCTTACAAATTTCACCGATGCCCACAACAGCCTGATCACAAACAAGGATGACTATATGACCAACCAGATCCTCCGCATGCCATTGAAGGGTCTGAAGAAATCATGGTCTGAGAGCGGGTGAATTCAAGGAATTCATGTAGACCCCAAAAGCCCAAACCCCAAACCCAAGGATGAATTCTTGGAACCGGGCGTACTTCGAGAACCACCGGGCACGCCAATACAACCGGAATCGCCAGCGAGCACCGGACTCAGAGTCTGAGAATTGCAGCACAACATGACCTATAATCGTAGTAAAGCTAGAAACAGTCATGCCTGATTGCACTCGTAGCTCCGTTGCAGTACTTGCTTCGAACCCAAAAGCTGATGGCCACGGCTCAAGGTGCGAGTTAGTTAGGCAGTTGACTCCGGAGCCCAGCATCCATTCCACGGGTGTCGTCAGGGGATAATAATAAAAAAAATTATTATTATTGTTACTATTATTGCTGAGGTTTCTTGAGCTGTAGTTGTCGTTCCTCCTTGTGGTGCCATCCTGCTGTGCAACTCAGCGCTGGGCTTCGTAGGCTTACGGCCCCCATGGGTTCGGTGGACTCAGATGACGAGCGGCCTCTGCTTCTATGCATCTTCTGGATCGCCACTGGCTTCTCCTATGGCCCTTTGCTCTGCTTCCCGCTCTACCAAGCTCTGGTGAAGTCCAAGGGGCAGTCGGAGGTCGACCCAACGACCCAGGGCCTGGTGCTCATGGCCGCCAAGTGCTTCACCGTCCTGGGCCACAATGCTCTGAGCCACTTCAGGACAGAGCTCTTTGGTCTGAAGCTGCAGGTTTTGAGTTGCCTGGTACTCTCCATGTGCTCTCTGACGCTGGCCAGCCTGGAAAGCGTGTCTGGGATCGGCATGTTGGTGGCTGTTGGGACCTTGCATCTCACCCACAGTGCAGTGGTCGTGGGGCCTCTTGTGACGGTGCCCTCGGAACAAAAGAGCAAGTTCCGCAGCCTCTTCTACTATGTCACCGCCCCAATTGGCTGCGTGTGGACAAGCCTTGTCAGCTTCTGTTTGGCACAGCCTCAATTCCAAAGTTCCTGGATACTGCGAGCCATCGCCTTGAACTCGCCGCTCCTAGTGATACTCTTTGCTTGGGCGCTGGTGCCACGAAGGAGCTTCTGGAGTGCAGCGCGGATGAGGGAGGCTCAGAAGGAGCTCGGAGGTGCGGAGGCTCGGGAGGAGTGCCCTGGCAGCCCTCGGGCTCGCAAGACCAACGAGACCGTTGCTTGTGGCGAAGAGGCACAGATCGACCCGCAGCCCAGCCCGCGAGCCGGTGCGAAGGTAGCGTTCTCGGTGGTGATGCCTGAGGTGGACGCGCCTGGGAAGTCGCCCGGTGAAAGCGGCGAAGGGCAAGCGGTAAAGATGGGCAAGTTGGAGCCGAGCATGACAGCGCAGTTCGGCAGGGCCAAGACAGGGAACCTAAGGCGGGGACACACGGGCAAGAAGAGCGGCCTCCGATCCACTCGGAGAACAACCATGGCGCGCATGCGGGGGACCTTCGCAGATCGGGCGACCCTGGTGAATCACATGACAAACTTCACCCCACTGACACCGATTCTTGCACGAGAGTTGACGCACATCGGCGGCTTGGATGAGATCTTGCGGAACTCCCGAGCGACCCGACGCTCGCAGCAGATACCGGCGTCCGGGAGCCCCTGGGCTGATGGCTGCTTCCGTGTACTGGCCGTCTGCCAGTGTCTGAACGTCTACGGCTTCAGTTTCTACGGCTTCAATGTGTTCCCGATGCTTATCGCAGAGACTGGGCCAAGTTTGGATGCGATCAGCATGCTCTACACTGTCGAGGGCTTTCTGCAGGCGGTCTTGACGGTAGTCCTTATGCCTTGTCTTGACACGAAGATGTTCTGGAAGTTCTTCCTCGCGACCTGGGTCATTCTGGCCTGCGCGCCGCTGGCGATCTGTCTGTTGGGCAGGCTTCACTGGATCTTTTATCTGCTGTTGCTGCTTGTGGTGGACGTGGCCCTTTGCTGCGCCACGGGGCTGCTGAGTGTCCTGCTTCTACGCACTTTGCCTTGGGAGTATATCACCACCTTCCACACGCAGGTCTCCGCCCTTTCTGGGCTGGTCACCGGGGCTTCTTTTGTTCAGATGCCTTTGCGTTCCGCAGTTGGCACCTGGGAAGCGACCTCTTTGATCGGTCACGGTGCTGCAGCGTTCTTTCTTCTGCTTGTCTATGCCACTCACCGCCAGTCGATGCGCAAGTTTTGGGAGCTGCTTGCCGATCCGGTCGAAAGGAACGCTGATGGCATGCTAGAGGAACTCGACGAAGACGACTTGCCGGAGATCGACGAGATTGATGAGGAGGATGCTCCAAGCACGGACCCACCGAACCTCGCCCGAGTCACAGAGCAACCCGACAGAAAGAATGAAACCGACCTACCCGGCATGCTGAGTTAGCGGCAAACACCAGCCATGCGATTGGAAGGTTCGATCACGGAATTCAGAGAAGCCGGGCTAGCCGTCCAAGACGCGCTTGCCAACTTCGTGTTGAAGGTTTGGCCCATGGCGGCTGTGAACCCTTCCTGCTTGGAATTCATCCTCGGCGTGCTTTTTTTCTCCGTATGTCGAGACGATATTTTTGCGCCTTTTAGTAAGGGAGGGCGCCGGCAAATTCATCTCAGAGGAACCTTTCTTGGGCCGTTTCAGGGAGAGACAGCTCTTTTTGCTTGGTTTCTCGGTCGCTCTGCACCCGGTTTCAGCCGTTTCAGCTTCACTATTGAAATGACCCGCCCCACTCCATCCAGCTTCTTGGCAGCCGGGCAGCAGGACTCTGCAGGCTCTCCAACTCTTTAAACCTTGTGCTTGTGGAGGCCCAGGACTGAAACACCTAGCCCCTGAAAAGGGTTGCTGGGCGTCGGTATGGACCTCTGCTTCAATTGCGAAGAAAAAATTGAAGTTTTGCTCCATGAGTTGGTGAAGCGGGATGGTCCGAGACCTGCCTCGTTCATCATCTTGTCTTATCTCGCCCAACACCCAGCAAAAACCACTCTTCAGGTCACGGACATCCGGAAGGTGATCGAGGAGTGCAAAGGCGAGATCCAGGCCGCGAGCGAGGACGGCAACGAGGAAGAAGGCGATGCCCTGGGCGCCTTGAAAGAAGACTGTCCAAGCCTAGAAGAAACTTTCCAAGAGTGTGCTCAAGTATATTCTGACACATTCTGACATACTCGGATGTATTATGATATGTTGTGACCTTTTTGGATACACTAATAGTATGTTATGGCATAGTATATATTACAGCCCTGGGCACCCGAAGCAGAAGGGGCCCCCGGAGCCATGGGTTCTCGTCGTCAGCATCACTACCCCAAGTCCAACTCAAGAACGTCAGGGTTTAGGGTTTAGGGTGGAACGAGTCAGTTGTCCTGGCGCGAACGAGTCAGTTGTCCTGGCGTGACGTTGCAAGCCAGTTGCAAGAGGGTTTAGGGTGGAGTCCAAGAGCCTAGGTGTGGACGCCTACGGCCGCTGACCAGACTGCAAAGATGAGCCTTGATGGTTTCACTTCTGCTGGACTGCAAAGACTTGTCCTGAACCTGCAAAAGACTGCGGAATATTTTTGCTTTGCTCTTCTCTTTCCTCCTCCTCTTCTTATTCTTGCTACGCCCAAGCTGCAGCCCTGCACACTTTGGATTTGAAGGACTCCAACTCTCCCACATGTTCAGCATCTTCAATCCTCTCAGCCTTGTGCGACTTGCCCCCCTGCCTTGAACGATGGCATCCACGAGAACACTGCATGTGGCTCCCCTGGTTCCCAGGTTGGAGCAAGGCCTTGGGGCACAAGGCCTTGCAGCAGCATTGAGGTGCTGTGCCAAGGCCAACGTGTGGCGCAGGCCCTTCGATGTCACAGCTGGCGGCCTTTCAGCTGAAGTGTAGCCAGGGCTTTGGCAGCATCCGACATGGCAGATGCCAAAGGCCCCTCCGTTTTGTTTCAAGGCTTTGTGTAAGGCTTGTTCGGCACAGGCCGCTGCTCTGCAGCAGATGCCTGCGTTCGAGCAGGCAATATCGCTGGGGGCCCTGGCGTGGGAGGCTTGGACAGTATGATTACGCAATGCAGGTCGTGCTGAACTGGCCACGCCGCTTCTGCAAAGCTTGGGTTCGCGGTGGGCGCAAAAGCCGCCAGCGTGCCTTGCATGTATGCGGGCCTGCTTCGGCAGTAGAACCTCACAGGCAGACCAAGTGTTGCTGCTAGGTAGGGCACCGCGAGAACCGAGGTTGGGAGACTCTGCACGTGCAGCAGGCTCTGCTGCACGACATGCTGGGCATCTTATTGACCCGTAGGGGCATGAGGACGGCGGCAATACCCTACAAACAAGACAAGAGCTGGGTCTGCGTGTCTGGCGGCACGATTGGGAGGTCTCTTCTGTGGATTCGTGAAGGTGCCACCGCCAGCCGTGGATGTTCGACTGACTCGGTTTGTGCTGCGGCCTGAGGGCTTGGGCTTTAAGGAGCGACATATCAAGGCTAGGGGACAGAAGTTGCGTGCAGGTTGGAACCATTGCGCCCACTCCTGACGCAAGCCTGGCAGCACTGCAGCGCACAGGGAAGTCCCTTAGATGCTATTTACTGGTGCAGTCGGCCTAGCAACCATGGGCAAAGCCATCAGGAGACTTGGAAGATGTGACTCTGGTTGGCCCCTGCTTGGCAAGAGTATGGATCAATGGAACGGTGCTTGCCTTAATGATTATAAGCCTTAATGTGCACGTACAGCCTTTACTGTTAATGAGTGCACTAAGACCATTCACATTAGTTGCTTGAGGTATGGGCAGCGCGAAGTTATGGAGCTCCCAGCAGAGTCGGCGCCGAAAAAGTTTCATTCGACATGTCGAGAGCGCACACCCGGCACACCCCATGCTACATGTAGCCGGTTTTGGCCGCCGTGATCAAGACGTATATTGCTTTGGCGTGGCATTGACAACACTGACATATCAATCGTCGCAGTCTAGATGTGGCCACTCTGGGAAGCAAAGGCGAGTTGTGTAGTGTCATGCGCTTTGAATGCCATGGTCTTCGGAAGACCTTTCCAGGCACCGGCCGGGCCTTCAGTTGCCTTTCTGCGCAGGCAGAGAAAGCAACAACAGCTGGTGATGATGCTGACGAAGAGGAAGATAATACGATGATCATCACGGTCAGGCTTATTAGTGCTAACAGTGCAAGCCACTTGGAGCTGTGAGGACTACTGCTATTGGATGTGCTCTCCGTGTCATCTTTAAAGTAAAGGAAATCAGAAACCATTGGCAAAGGCTGATCAGAGGGGCGCCAGCCAAAGCAATTGCCCAGCTTCGTCGCTGTCGGCAGAGGTTGCCTTAAGTGCCCCCACTCTGAGGAGCTTTCTATTCTTCTTCTTGTTCTCATTATAGCTACTACGACTCTTGTTATCATCGCCATCATCCTCCTTCTTCTTCTGCAATTGGAAGCTGGACGATGCTGAGGCTGCGCGAGCACCGAAGCTCAAGCGCAGATGGCTGCAAGTACCGGTGGCGCCTGCGAGTCTCGAAGCCCGGGACCCGACCCAAAATCAGTTTCGGGTTTAGGGTACAGGGTTTCGGGTATAGGGATTAGGGTATAAGGGTTTAGGGTTTAGGGTGAAAGAAAAGGGTATAGGGATTAGTCGCCGCAGGCCAGTTGCAAGAGGGCTTAGGGTTTAGGGTTTAGACTGCAAGAGGCCTGGATGCAAAAAGGGTTTCGGGTTTTGGGGGTTTTAGGGTTTCGGGTCTAGGGCCTGGGGTTTTGGGATATAAAGTTAAAAGCTTTGGGGACCAGGGCCTGCGGGTTAGGATGTAAAGTTTAAAGCTTTTGAGAGTAATTACGGAGTTGCAGGCTAGACTTGAGTCCAGTAGCAAAAGAAAGGGAGTCGCAGGTTTCAGAAAGCACTGTCATGGGGCCTGCATTTCTTCATGGACATGTTTCGCGGTTTCGGAGGGGCCTAGACGGTTTCAAAGTTGGACCCCGAGCCCTGCTGACCAAGGCAACGCTCGCCAATGTGGCGCACTTGGAGCAGCCTGACGGCAAACGCAAAAGCGGATTTACATGGTGAGAGCTAGGGTTATGATAAGGTTTTGGGCTCCTTTACAGTATATCTATAATAAGGAACCCAAACAGTAGTTTTACCAGCATGGGCAGGCTGGACATGATCTTGCCAGCCGACCGCGAAGTCGAGTTGCTCCCGAGGCCAGTGATCTTTTGAAGTGACCCGGTGTGATCTGCTGGCCCAGCGCAGGCCATACACCAGCAGCGCTGTGTCTTTCGCAGCCGAAGCGATGTTTAGTGCGGAAAACTCCACATTCAGCACCCGACCCTCGACAAGTGCATGCTCTGGGGGGAGCTCCCGAAGCTTTCGTCCGAGGGCTTGGTGGAAATCCAGTCGCCGACGCAAAGGCTGGAAAGGCACTACAAGCCTCGCAGATTCCAGCATGTCGACATCGAGCAGCTTCAGGTGCCCGCAAACACCACAGAGAGACTTGCGTGGATACGAGACATTCGAGCAGCTGCTCCAGCCGGGATGGCGAACAGCCGCAGAGCTCTGCGCGACTTCAAAGGAGGAGGAGGAGGCGGATGAGGACTCAGGAGACGATGCTGGCCCGGGTGCACCAAGTCGCCGAGCATCAGCGAAGCGGGACGCTGTGGTTCTTGGAGTGGGGAAGCCATTTTGGAAACTTAAGCAGATGGAGCAGGATACAGCCGCAAAGGCCGAAAAGCCGCTTTATCAGCAAAAGCGGAATGCCCTCAAGCAGGTGACTTCCAACAGCCTTTTTGCAATTCCGGGGCAACTGGACTCTCAAGCACACGAGAGCTCTTCCTCGGCATCATCTACCGATGCAACATCTGTATCTTCGGACAGTGTGGACCCGCTGCTGGCGACTGAAATAGGTCGGGCGGAACTCATCATGTACACCAACCGGAACAGAATGTGACACGTCTTGAACCACAACACTCAGCTCCCCGTCCTGCCCGACAGTCAGCGAAGCTCTGTCCTTGAAGGTGACCTACTTCCTCAGAGGACCAGTCCGTGGACAGCCACGTTTGCGAAAGCTACAGCCGCTTCTGACCCGCACATGGCCAGAAGAGGAGGTGGGATGTGCACAGCTCGATGACGGAAGCTTGTTATATGCTAACCGCCCACCCGAACCCGAAACCTGAAGCCCAAACGCCTAACTTGCTAGGCGGGAGGCAGAACGCCCAAATGCCAAAGGCCTACACCTTCAACCTTTGGATTTGTTCCTGTGCCTGACGATTGTTGGGGTTCCACAGATACTCCCAGCCAAGCCCAAAGGTTCAACCATAGTCATGGTGGTATTCCCACTGTAGCAGGTAGGAAAGGAGCCGAACAACAAAAACCTGTGAGCCGAGCCGGGACTTATGCCTGGATGGGTGCCTGCTTTGCGTGAGTCGAAACCTGTCAACCACTCGAAGCTTGCTTTTCATAGCTGCAACCGCAAGACGGCCCCTAAGAGGTTTGGACGAGGAGATGATCGCCATGGCTGTGGCCTCGGTCTAGGGTTCAGGGATCAACAGGGTTTGGGTTCAGCAGGCCTAGTTTTTCGAGGATTCGGATGGAGTTTCAGGGTTTGGTAGGTTCGAGGGGTTCCCTGAGGCAGAGTTCGCGGTCGCCGCTCAGCAAGCCGCCATGCGCGAACAGGAGGAAGCCTCACTTCCAGCGGAGGCCAGTGCAATGAAGGTATTTGGACCAGCTTCGCTGCACCGGTCTTCCGGGAGGATGTCCCCAACTTGACCTGCAGCATCCAGTACAAACAAGTATACTCAAGGAGGGAGCAGGTTCCGGAGTGGTGCCACAGCTGAGACGGTCCTTGCATCGATGAGGATGATGAGGAGTACGGGGAGGAGGATCATGGACAGTGCAGATGACACGGCTGGTGATGCTGACGACGATTACGACGGCGATGATGATGACGACGAATACGACGGTCTTCGCGACCATGATGAGGATGATGGTGATGGTGCTGATGTCACCAACATCCCCCGAGAGTATTGCAAATGCGAGGTATCACCAACAAGTTTTTCCGGACATTCCTTGGCACAATTGCGTGGGCAGTAGCTGAAAGTGAGGTCGTTTTTCACTCTTCAGGCTTCTGGTGTGAGTTATAAGTCAAGTTTCGCAAAATTCGGAACCGTCCGAGCGGAAAGTAGTACAATTTCAATGGCCGGAGCCTGGTGGGCTTTGCACCTTGTCCTTGAGTTGTCTGACCCCCCTGAGCCCAAAACTACCGTCGACCGGTCCCACGATCACTGTAACTGCGAGGCACTTCCGGGGGTCTACTTCGGACACATGGAAAGCCCACGGTCCACGCTTCTGCCAAAGACCCCGAGGGTTGTCCCCATCTCAGCCGTTGATTGGGACACGCCCATTCCGGAGAGCAGCTTGGATGGCTGAGGGTCGACTGCAAAAGCTGGAGCACGAGAAGCTGGATCAAGATAATGTTCGCTGCGGATTGCTGCTGATGGCTTCTGTCGCTCTCGTGCTTCGTGTCTGCGCAGGTACATCAAAGAAAGCTCCTGTGTTTGCCACACAAGGAGCATCCCGACAGAAGGCAGCTAGGCACCAATTTTGGATCCTCACCTCTGTCAGGACCGCGATTTCGACCTCCTCAGGACTGGCCTGACTTCATGCAAGGTAGTAAATTGAGATCTGAGGCGCATTGCGACGTAGGGCGTTGCTGCCAGTGCGGATGTGACATGTCTGCAACGCTGAAGTCTCTGAACAGATCAGCCCGCCGAATCCTGGCCTCTTGATGTGTCTCTTTCCCTTCTTCAAGTCCTGTTCGGGGCTGGGAGGCTAGGAGTGTTGGCTCGGGCAATAGTCGACTGCACGAGATGGCAGGATGAATGTGCTGCCGGCCACCGAGGACGTTGACGTTTATGGCAAGCTGAAAGCAGGCAATGGTTGAGCGAAGACCGTGGGGCGAGGAGCAGAGGTCTACGACGGCTGGAGCAAACAAGCGAAAAACGGCAGGGTGCCCAGCGAGCTTGGGCTGCATGGAGGGTTCCTTCGATGTTGAGCTCAGGGTCTCACTCAGGCCTCGACGTGGGAGCAAGGCAAAGCACAGCCTTCGAAAGGGCCGCTGTCTCCCGAGGAGGAGGACCGAGTGCAGAGATGCTCTGATGCTTTGAGCGCTAAGCTCTCAATGCCAGCTGGGCTGCAGGAGCGCATCAAGGAGGAGAAGGCACTGCGAAATGAAACCCATTGGGACGGGTGCCTGATAAACCTAGCAAGCTACAGCGACCAATGCGGACCATGCGGTGGCATGCAAGGGCATGCGTTGTAGAGTCTCGAGTATCTGCCGCAGCAGCTCAGCACTAGCCGGCTGGGCTTTTCGTTTCTCTTGGCGGCTCTGTGAACTTGATATGCCGCTGTTCAGGCTCAGTACGATGACTGGCGCAGGCCCACTGAAGTGATTTCGGCTCGATACAACCGGCATTGTTTTGCTTTTCTAGGGCTGAAATCCCTGTGTGACCGAGGCAAGTGCTGCTCTGTGCACGTCATCTGACTACACACATCAGCCGCTTCGAGACGGACCCGCTCGTCGGTGGCAAAGGGCTCTTTTAACTGTGAGAAGGAAGACTACTTTGCCATTTGGGTTGCTTGCAGACCAATCTTTGGTTCGGCCTCAACGAGTCAGAAAAAACCGAGCATTTAGAACTGCAAGCAAGCACCATGCCACCAATCTCATTTTAGTGAATGCTTGTGCATGAAGGAAGCACCTTTATGCACGGACTTGCCTCAGGTAGAAGTGCAAGGTGGGTTGCCCCCGTGTGCTTATTCCAACTTCTAAGTTTGGTGTTGTGACGACTAGTGGCAACATGTGGCAACGGCAACCTCGCTCTCCTGATCATGGTCGACGCCTGAAGACCAGCTGCGAAGACCCTGAGCTGAGCAAGAGAAGCTTCGACAACGCGCACCAGTCGCCCGTTTCATGAGCTTTGGTTCGTAGATTCTACGTAGGTACTGCAGTCTGTAGGCATGACAGTACCCAAGGCGGCGGTTGGACATGGGCTGTCCTCAGGACGCTCCCGCAACGGTCGAAGAAAGCGCGTCCATTGCAGGTAGACTCGTGGTATCTCGTTGTCTCCTTCCAGGACCCTCCGACTGGGCCCCAAGCAATTAAGAAAAATGCAGTGGTTGGACATGTACCGGAGCCTGGAGCCATGGTCCATTACGCAGGAGTCAACTACTTAACTACTTACCATGAAATTGCTTATGATCTCTCAACAGCCCAGCCGTCAACGAGCGCAGGCTTTGGTCCAAAGGCGCGCAGTCGCCTCGTGCCAGTCCGGAGTCCATTAAACTCAGTACAAATGTAGTTGCCAAAGCCTCAATGCTGCTACATCCGCAGCAGCCTCAGCTGGCGAACGGTCTGTGGCGACATCGCACCGTATGAGGTGTGCGTGGGTGTCTGTGAAACTGCTATACATGCAGTGCTTGCCACAAGCAGGGGGCGTGGCGTGGGGGTGGTGGAGGTGAGGGCGGCGGTCTGGCGGGTGGCTTCGCTAGGAGGCTACAGTGCTTCTTTAGAGATCAAGTGCAGAATGGGGAAGGGGTTGGGGGAGGTGGCGGGTGGCCGAGTTGCGCTGATTATGCCAACATTCATATCAGTAACTTTTGGCCATCACATGAAGGCCAGGTCGGCTGAGTGGAAGTCCATCATTCACATCATTGCCAAGAAACACTGCATACAGCGTTGAGGTGCCTGATGAGAACTTTGCTGAACGTTCCAGAGCTACTAGTTCGGTTGATCTGGACGACGGGGGGTCGGGGGAAGGAAGGGTCGAAGGTCGATAGCCCCTTTTCCAGACTGTCTCAGTATCACGGACTTTGCGGTGCTACTTGTCTCAGGGGACGAACTTGACAGCGAGTGCACCACCGGCCATGTTGTGTTTTTCTGTCAAAGAAGCTAAGGATATAATAATGATTTGTCAGTTTTCGTTTGACCCGACCGACGGCGGGAAAGTGGGAAGGGGGGTTAAGTACAAGGCACCTGAAGCCTCAAAAAGCGAAAGCTTTCTACATGTTGCCTCAAAGCGAAGCCCTTTACACCTCCTGCATCCAGCCCTAAGCCCGTAGTTGAGGACTGTACCTCTATAGAAGAAAATGAGCACCCCTGGATGTTTAAAGGTCTGCTTTGCTTACTACTTGTAGTTACTAATGTCTTGGGCATCTACTTTTGCGTAATGGCAACAGCCCGACTCTGGTTAAAGGTGTCTCCCTGGAACTGAGCACTTTCCGGGGGATTTCAAGTGGGCAGACAGGCCCTGGATCCAGGCCAGCGCCTGGGCTTCAATGCCCGGGGCCCGGTGCAGGCGGATCCTGGATCCCCCCCCGTTTGAGTGGGTTTCGGGTGTGGGGCTCAAGGTTCTGGAGGTAAGGACTTGATGTGTAGGGTGTATACGGTTCAGGGTGTAGTGTTTAGATTCTCATGCCTCCCTGCCCCTTGATTGAGTTTAGGGTTTACAGTGCAGGGCTTAGCGCCAGGTTGGGGTTTTTTGTGTTGATCGAGTTTACAGGGTTTGAGTCGGTTTACGACAATAGGGCCAATGGGGTGCCCCTTTCATAGAAACCAAGATACTCTCATTCTTATGGGGAACCCCCATAAAGGGTACTATTCTCGGAAACCCCCACCTATGCAATCTTCGCACTGGCACTTCTGGTGCTCCCAGTTCCGCAGCTTCTGTTTGAAAAGCCAGGTCCCCTCAGCACGTGGTAGACCATTGTTCTCTACTGCTTGGACCCCGTCAGTGTAAAGCTCTCACCGAAAACCATGGGAAACGCGTCCCAGCAACTCCAACAGCGGAGCAATGTCGTCTTGAGAATTCTTCTTGTTCAGCGCTGACAGAAGGTATCGGGTGGAATGGAAATGGCCCTTGAGGTTGAACTCAGCAGCAGGCTCATCCTGCCCGTTTGTCCGTTTCGATTCAGTTGCTTCCAAGGCGATGCAGGACTGGCAGTGAAGCACCTATTCTTCCGAGTTTCTACTAGGTTTTTTCTTCATCCGTGAGGGTTCACAAAGAATGAGCTTCTTGGCGCTAGTAAATCCAGATCTGAAGTGATCGCAGACCGGATGCTGGGGATACTTTTTCTGGACATGAATTTCCAGGCATAATGGTCGATATGAAAAGTAATACAGTGTATAAATTCAACCCAGGCTGCCCTAGGAGCCTCATCTCGCGTGAACTGCATCGCACGAAACTCAGCAAGAGCTCGATTCCCTCGGGCGAATGAAGAACCCTCTTGACTATGGTAACTGGGGCTGGAAATCCATGGTCGCCGTAGAACTGCAGTGTTGCACCTCATACAACGGCGGGTTCACAATGCACCCACGATCACCCCATCAACTTAAGGATAGGCTTGCACAGTCCAGGGTGCCCAGGACTGGGTTCTGATAGGCTCCTTCCCCAGCTGCGGAATGTAACACGCCGTTCTTGCTATCCCTAGCCGCCCTAGCTCGGTCTCACGAAGTTCACGAAAGATCTGAACTCTTCTGATACCTTGGCCATCCAGGAGAAGTCCCAGGGGTCAAAGTGCGAAGATGCTGGAATAGCCATGACCCCAACCCCAACAAGAAACGTGATTGCAACTGCCACCTTGATATGCTCAGCAGGGCACAGCTCCTGACACATGCTCTCTCGATTCGCAACATGCAGGCGGCAGCTGACCACTTGGTAGCTGGGATGTTTTGACCTGGCCGGCAGAAACGGGGACAGGAAAAAGTGGTGTTCAGAAATTGCTCGCTGTCGACACAAGTGGGCTTCTGCTGAGCCTTGCCAGAAGCGATGCTCGGGGCGGGTGGAAGCTACTATGTTATGCTGTGAATCGAGTCGAGTTACATCTTCTGCACGACCAATCCACCTGCTTCCCACACGAGCAAAAGAATAAACTGCTAACATCACTGCAGCTCTAACACATCCACGGCGTTTCGGAAGAGATGCGTTTTTGAGCACCCCCTCACCGAAAAAAGCACACGCCATTGGATCATCCGCGTACTTGTTGTGATCTGCCAATTCCTTGATGTCTCGCGCCATCGCTGTTGGCTCTCGTACCCTATTCAGACTTGTACACGTGCCCGCTCGTCCACCGTCCACACAGCCATCATGCAGGCAGCTGCAGGCAGGCCATGCACCTGTGCTGTCACAATCTGGTTCTTCGCATCGTGCCTAGTGCTGGAGGCCCAGGAAGCGACACTGCCTCCATATCCGATATCTCGGAGGCGGAGGAGGTGGAGGTTCCAATTGTTTTGGAGTCGCTTGCCGTACCAAGGCTGCAAAAGGCACAGAAAGTAAGAGAACTCGGCCACAAGTGACCTGCTTGGTCGCGCACACTCCTGAATACCCTAGACAAGGACTTCCTTTAAAAAATCAGCAAGGCATGGTGCCAGCGCCATGCCAAAAAGAACATGTGAAAACAAGCAACACATGTCAACGCGGCCTCCGTCCGGTCCGGCGGTGGACTGTGCGTGTAGCTATAACATGGTGATAGTCACTGATAGTCATGTCTATTGTAGTGGTGTGAGATGCATGTTCATACCATTCGCGCTTGGCAGAGAGAGAGAGAGAGTCCGTAGCCCTGGCGAAAGAGAGAGAGAGAGAGAGAGAGAGAGAGAGAGAGAGAGAGAGAAAGAGAGAAAGAGAGAGGTAGGGGAACTTCCCCTGCCCACAACCC